ATCTTTGCTTTCTGTTAGGAAATGTTCATATTGTAAAAGGACAAAGAAGAAAAAAATGAACTGCTCACATTACAACTGGCAATCTCCTTTTAATATTACACTCAAGACTGATTTAAGTTATCCAGTGACCTCTACAATGAAGAGCAGAGTATTCTAATGGGAATGTTTCATGTGCCATTCCACACTTCAGGGAACCAAGAGGCAATAACCACCACAATTCCGTACACTGAACAATCTTAACTACACTTTTGACATCTTCATGCTACAAAGCGTCAGACACTTTCTCAGAGAGATGATGACAAAATTATTACTCTATGCATTATAAATCAAAAGGAAGTGGCTCTTTAACGTGCAGATTTATGTTAACTACTGAGCTATCTGTTAATTGTGTGCTCTTTAAATATTGATTGGGGATTAAAAGGAAAATTTTCTTCAATGTGTATGAAGTAAAATATGCCAACTGGAAATTTTCCTTCTACATATCAGTCCTATGATCACTGCCTGTAAAATTAAAATGATCAGTTTAAATGGATAAACTATGATCATTAAAGGAAAAAATACATTTATGTAATTAAAATTGACTGTTTAATATGTGTGGATAATGTAATTACTGTAGGCTAGCTTACATACACACACACACACACACACACACACGCACACACACACACACACACACGCACACACACACACACACACACAGTTCAGTGCCATTCTTTTTTGCCTCCCTGTACCTACCAAGTCTGGAAATCTCGCCTGTTGTATTCCCTGGAATGCAGTCCACACTCAACAAAGCCTTGGTCACTCCTCTACTTATTCATGTACCCATTTACCATCTTGACCTCTGAATTCTCATCATTCACTTTGTCTTGCTTTGTCACAGTTCTCCAAACATCAGTTTTGAAATGTGTCAGTTCTTGCTTCATTTGTATAACCTCTGCATTTTTCATTGACTTGGCTGTTTCAAAACCAAGTATAAAATCTCCCTCTAAATTCTGAATTCTTGTTAAAAAAAATATATTTTTTTGGGATTTAAATAATGGCAAAAAATAAAAGCTTTCCAGTTCTTGTAAAATATCCCCTAAATTAACTACATGGTTATAATTATTCTGAAGGATAATATAAATAGTTATATAAAAACTTGAAATTCATTCATATATTTTTCTCTGTCTCCATTCCTTCCTGTTCCTCTGACTCAAATCTGAGATTAGTGGGTAAAGTAAGATGGAAAGTAAAGTAGGCTTCTGGGTAAAAGCCTGGTAAAGAGCCAAGGACGAATGTCAGCTAGAGGCATGGGATGAAACCATGAAGTTCAGATGGAGAAAGGTATTTCTGAATCTGGTTGAAGAGTGATTGCTCTCATTTAAGCCCCTCTCCTGCTAGTCAGATGAACAGCTACTACTCTTCTCATCAAAAAGGGAAATCACTAAGGATTATTTGTATTATGGTAATACCCGAAGGCCCCATATTGCGAGGCACTGTATAAATACACGTCAATAAAGAGACCATTTCCTGAAGATCCTACGATCTAAGTATACAAAATTGATAATGCATGGGAGTAAAGAAGTATGATTATTTCCACTTTACAAATAAGGAGCCAAGTCATAGAGAGATTCAGCAACTTGCTCAAGATCACTCAGAGAGTCTTTAGTAAAACCAGGAACTGAACTCAACCACATCAGTTTCAGTCTAGTGTCTTAACCACAAGATCAGTTTTCCAATGGGAAGTGTTTTAAGAAATCAATTGTTTACAATATATACAAATTATTTAGCTGAAGTCTTTCAGAAAAGGGAACTACATTCTCAGCCCTGCTGCAGTTGATGTATACCTCTTTGTTGGCACAAAGCTGCTATAATGCTCTTACCCATCTAGGGTGCATCTAGACTGGCAAGATTTTGCGCAAAAGCCCCTGCTTTTGTGCAAAACCTTGCCAGCTGTCTACACTGGCCGCTTGAATTTGCGCAAGAACGCTGACTTTGTAATGTACAAAATCAGTGCTTCTTGCGCAAATACTTTCACACTCCTGCTCGGGAAAAAACCCTCTTGCGCAAGAATACTTGCTCAACAGGGCCAGTGTAGACAGCGAAGAACTGTTTTGTGCAAAAAAGCCTCGATGGCTAAAATGATGATTGGGGCTTTCTTGCGCAAAATCGCGTCTAGATTGGCCATGGATGCTTTTGTGCAAAAGCACTTTTTGCGCAAAAGCATCCGTGCCAATCTAGACATGCTTTTGCGCAAATACTTTTAACGGAAAAACTTTTCCGTTAAAAGTATTTCCGCAAAATCATGCCAGTCTAGATGCAGCCGACATGTCAGAGAAATTCTTGGGTGGCAAAGAACCACCATAGCAGTTACATTTCCTGGCCCCTTTTATAGAACATTTATCCAGGGAAGGAGGACAAAGTCATGGAACTTCTACAACACTTACATACGTGTACAATATTCTGCCATTCGCAAAGGACCCTAGAGGCCATAAGGAGATGATATACACCAGAACACCCTTGAAGATGCTCTAATTGACATTGAGGAACATCTCAACTCCTGGCCTCCCAGAGGACTAGTGGGAAAGAGGGCAAAAGTAGCATCAAGCATAGTTTGGATCATGGGTGAAGCCCAGGATTGGGATCACGAACTTCGGGAATTCTGATTAAGAAATAATGATGCATATAGATGATCTGACTGATAGCTCCATTTAATACATCTTCCCTGGAATGGTTCCTTCATCTAAGACTAATTATTTTATATTTTTAGACACTGACTTCCTTTTGCCATCTGCTGGATCTATCTTCCAGCACACTGATCAGGAAAATGCGACAACAGAGTAAAGGTATTGAAATGATTAATGCACTACACACAAATAGTTAAAAAGGAAAAAAATATATTAACTGCTCTAAACACAGAGAGAGTATACAAAACAAAGAGATGATACTATAATATTCTATTGTTCAGTACTTAGTATTCCAGAAGCTAACATTCACAATATCAGTTACTGAGCACGGGAAAGGTATTATTAGCTTGAAGATGTTGTGGCACTGGGAGAAAAAAGGATGCCAAGTCTGTGGGGGAAGGAGTCAGGAATTAACAGCAACTTTCCTCTCCTCCAAATGTATTATGTTCTTATACTGTAAATTCCCTGACTAGCATACACCTTCTTATTCCTATGTCTAGCTGCATTGGAAGATATAGATCCACATGCCTATTTTCTTCCATTTTCAGAAACAGCTACCCCGTCCCCAGTTATCATGATTCCAAATCCCATCCTTATTGAGACTCGACTCTTCTTTCTTATCTCAGCAGTTTACTATGACTCCTAAGTCCTTAACTTTTTCTCCTAAATCCTGCTCCTTGAACCAACAATTCCTTTCACTCAATTACTGTTCCCAAAGCCTTTGCTCTGTCCCTTATTTCACTTTGCCCTAGTCTCTCTATATACTGCACATTAACTTTTCTAGATATGCAAGAACAATAATTAACTCAGAAATGTTTTGAAATCCCTCATATGAAATACATTGAACAAAAATAATTATTATATATACTGTATGCAACTTAAATCCGGGCATGGAATCTTCTTAACACCCACGTTTTACTCAAGTTTTATTCAAAATTGGTGAAAAGTTAGTCCAATATAAGTATCAAGAGCTATTGACTTGTTAATAGCTTGCAGCATGTTTTAAAATACAGACACTTAGTCTGTGTCTACACTATGAGCGAGGGGTGTGATTTTGAGCTTGTATAAACATACTCACAGTAGCTGTCAAGAGCCAGAGCATTACAACCAGTAGAGTAGCTGCAGTAGCATGGACACCCATCTGCTCAGGCAGGTTTGCATTCTCGGTGGCTAGCCCATGTTGCTGCTCAGTGCTGTCTGTGCTGTTGTGTATGTGCTACTATTTTTAGTGCTCTAGCTCAGTGTGTCTCAACCTTTTCAATACCAGGGACTGGCTTGCTGCCTTTTTAAACTGTGTCAGGGAGATCTCAGGAACTGGCACTGGTCCATAGACTGGGCAATGAGAAAAACTGCCTTAGGGTCAGTGTTTTTCAACCTTTTTTCATGTGTAGACCACAAAAACATCTCAAATGGAGGTGCACACCTCTTTGGAAATCTTAGACATAGTCTGTAGACTCTGGGGGAATCCAGAGACAACAGAGTGAAAATCACTGCTCCAGTTCAATAAGAGTTAGCATGACTATGTCTCAATGAACTGGGAATCATGCCCCATCTCTAACGCTATGTCTATACTGTAGCCTTCTTGCGGAAAAGCATATGCAAATGAAGCGCGGTATGGAATATCGTTCTTCCTCAAAAAATGAGGATGAAAGGCTTTTGAGCGAGAGGGGATTTTTACGCAAAAAGGAGCCATTTACGTGGCTCGTTTTTGCGCAAAAGCCTCTTGCACAAAAATGGCTGCTCATTACTTATGCAAATGAAGCATGGCGATATTCCACGCCACGCTTCATTTGCATATGCTTTTCCGTAAGAAGGCTACAGTATAGATGTAGCATAAGTGGAGAAGAAGCCAAACTAAAGAGAAATGAAAAGCAATTAGATCAACCTTTTCACACCAGCGCACCTAAATTTATGCCTTACATTTGAGTACCAACATAGGACTTCAATGATAGACACAGGAGCAGAGCACCTTTTGAAAATCAGGCCATTTTTGGTTTTGGTGTCATGTATAGATTTAGAACCCTTGCCCTGACCATCCAAGTGTGAAGATTTTGACCTGAATGTTTACTTCTTTCTTTATTTTAAAAACAGACTTATCCAGAAATATTTCTGCATTACAAGCTAATAAATCAAGAACCATGTAGCACATTTTCATTAAATACAGAAAACAAACAACCTGGCATGAAACAAGCAAACCTGTTTTTCCATAGTACTTTAAACTATTTTAATAACCTGTATGCATACTCCAAAGAGTAATAGTGTAATACTACTTGAATAAATCAGTCTTTGTATCTAAACATTCTACAGGTTACATTTGCATTCAGTAGCTCATACCTGGTCATTCTCTTCTTCATCGCTACTTAATTTGAGGTCATCTTCTAGCATTCTAGAGAAAAAATAATAGAAAAAATACATTTAAAACACCCAAATAATTAAGACATAACATATTTTATTTGTTGCTGACTAGCTTGTTAACTTGCTGACCATCAATACTTGAGGAAATCAATTGATTACTACTGTAGCAACTGAGTTTGAGAAGATTATTGTAATTAGAAGAAATATATGACCAATTTTGAATTCTATAAAAGACCATTATTGATGCTGATAGGTGGGAATTTCCCAAAAGAGGAAAAGATTACTACACTAGAGTTAGAATTTTCAAAGCTCTTTCTAGTAGCTATTTACACTGGCAGCGTTGTGACATCAAATGAGGGTGACCTCATGTTTCACAAAGGCCATGTGTTTGTTCTGTTTTAGGCTTGAAGTAATGTTGACTTCTCAATTGAAATAATTAAACAATACTATAAAGCCACAATGCTCAGGAGAATTTATCCCTCTCATTTGAAAATAGACAAGAACTCACCTTTTCTAAGGGGGATTTCACGCCCCTGTTCCCAAACCACCCGCAAAATGTTTAAATTTTCTTGCAAAAAAATAGCTTGTTTTTAACCTCTTAGAATTGTATTGCAACCTTGAACTGGCAATTAAAGGAATTTAAGAAGTGTGAGGGGATCCACTCTTTGAAAGGTCTCCAGTGAAGGGATTTATGTCTTTTAAAAAGTCTCTAATAATAGTCATTGGAATAGTAGCTCGTTTTCTTGTAGTCTGGGAAAGGTGAATCTGTAATTTAGTGTTGCCTCCAAAAGAAAGTTTGGTGAAAAATCTAAACGCATTCTGCAATGTGGGTGATCCCAGAGAGTAAATATATAAAAGGAGACATATGTAATCATCTCAAACCACCTCCTTGTACTTGTGCCTAATCTCCTGAGAAGGCAGCTGAAAAATCTAATTCTTAAATGGGTAGCAGGGTGTATATTTCACAAGATCACAAAGAAGCAAAGGAACACCATAGCCAAAAGGAGCACATAGCTTACCTATCCTTGTATAAGACTTGCAGCTACGGTTCACTAGTTCACTACTGACACCACTGGTTTACCCACTGCAGCTACAGAACACAGAGAACCTCATTGCTGGAGAAATAGCTCGGTTTCAGCTTCCAGGTTAATTCATGCTCTTTACAAGGTTGGAAAGGCTGATGCAACCTCCAACTCCAGTAGTGGAAAGTTGGACTGTAAAGGGTAACTCCTATTATCCCACAATTAACCCTGATGCTTTTTTTTCTGGATTTACTGTTATATATTTAAAGTTCTGCCTCTGTTGTAGAGGTTTAAAACTGAAATGCCAGCTTCAGCAATATCTGGCTGCAAACTGAGCCCACGTCTACACTAGGGATGTTAGTGACTAGTTGACTAGTTGACTATCTGATAAGCAAATGCTAGTCACTTCCTCCCCCCTTGATGGCTCTATCAAGCTACATCTACATTGTTTGTTTTTTGTGGAAGAGGAAATGCAAATGAAGCACTCATTTGCAAACCTCGTGCTCTCATTTGCATATTTTCTACTGATCCTTTTTGCGGAAGAGGTTTTTGTGAAAAAAAGGCAGTGTAGACGGGGCCATTTTTCGGGAAAAAAAACCTTTTGCACAAGTTCCTTTATTCCTCAAAAAATGAGGTTTTCAGGAAGGAACTTGTGCAAAAGGTTTTTTTTCCCGAAAAATGGCCCCGTCTACACTGCCTTTTTTTCACAAAAACCTCTTCCGCAAAAAGGATCAGTAGAAAATATGCAAATGAGAGCACGAGGTTTGCAAATGAGTGCTTCATTTGCATTTCCTCTTCCACAAAAAGCAAACGTAGCCCCAGAGAGAGGCAACAAGGGGAGAAACAGGAGCCAGTGCTGGGGGGAACCAGCTTTAAGTGAGTTCCCTCCAGCACCGTCTCTGTAGGAGGCAGGGGAGGCAGAGGGGCAAAGGGGCAGTGGAACTGCTTAAGTCCCTGCTCGTGCTGTTCCCACTGCAGGCACTTCTGGTTTTGAAATGTACAAGAGTCCTCAGGGGCTCTTCTACATTTCAAAAGCAGAAGTGCCGCAGGGAGTGCGGGGTGAGCAGGGACTCAAGCAATTGCCGCTCCCCCGTGCTCTCTATGGTGGGAGCCCCCCTGCTTGCTGCCTCTATTAGAGGCAGCAAGGTGCGGGGGGACAGGGGCTGGTGCTGGGGGGAGCCGGCTTAAAAGCTAGTTCCCCCTGGCACTGTCTACAGGGTGCTGCCTGCCCTCCCTCCCCATTGCCTCTATTAGAGGCAGTGGGAGGGGGGACGGGTGATGCTGCTGTGAAGCAATCCCTATCCACAGGAGTCCCAGATGGGAGCTAGACCACCCTCACCCCCATAGAGATAAGCTGTTGCCACCAAGCAGCCCCTATACTCATTGGCCAGGGCTGTCTGATGCAAATAGGGGCTGCAGGACTCAGCACAAGCCGGAACAGAGCAGTCCTGGCTCACGCTGATCACTGCACCTCTGCATTGTAAATGTAGTAAGAGCCCAAAGACTCTTACTGCATTTAAAATGCAGCGCCGCAGCACTGGTGACTCCAGAGCTGGCATGAGCTGGGATTGCTCATTCCTGGCTGGAGTCGGCTCCTGGAGTTACCCCTCTGTGGCTCTGATCGACTAATCATGTATTGATACAAATTGTATCGCCTATATGATTATCTAGATATTCGCATTTTAACATCCTTAGTCTACACTTCAGTTTCATGGGCAAAAGTCAGCTTTCACTGACAAAACAATGGGGGGAACACATTGTAGTGCTCCTCCTGCTGATTTAACTCTCTTGCTATGCTGACATAATAAAACCACTTGGATGAGGGTCAAAAAGGACAAGTGCAGAGTCCTGCACTTGGGACAGCAGAATCCCAAGCATTGTTCCAGGCTGGGGACCAACCAGCTAAGTAGCAGTTCTGCAGAAAAGGACCTGGGGATTACAGTGGATGAGAATCTGGATATGAGTCAACCGTGTGCCCTTGTAGCCAAGAAGGCTAATGGCATATTAGGTTGCATTAGGAGGAGGATTGCCAGCAGATCCAGAGATGTGATTATTCCCCTTTATTCAGCTCTTGTGAGGCCACATCTGGAGTATTTTTTCCAGTTCTGGGCCCTCCACTACAAAAAGGATGTGGACGCATTGGAGAGGGTCCAGCAGAGGGCGACCAAAATGATTAGGGGGCTGGAGTATATGACCTATGAGGAGAGGCTGAGGGAGTTGGGTCTGTTTAGTCTGCAGAAGAGAAAAGGGAGGGGGGATTCGATAGCAGCCTTCAACTTCCTGAAGAGAGGTTCCAAAGAGGCTGGAGAAAGGCTGGTCTCAGTAGTGATGGATGGCAGAACAAGGAGCAATGATCTCAAGTTGCGGTGGGAAAGATCCAGGTTGGATATTAGGAAAAACTATTTCACTAGGAAAGTGGTGAAGCACTGGAATGGGTTACCTAGGGAAGTAGTGGAGTATCCATCCCTAGAGATTTTAAAGTCTCGGCTTCACAAAGCCCTGGCTGGGTTGATTTAGTTGGGACTGGTCCTGCCTTGGGCAGGGGGCTGGACTTGATGACCTCCTGAGGTCTCTTCCAGCTCCATGGTTCTATGATTCTATGATGAGAGGCACGCAGTTTTTTTCAATGAAGTTAAAGTGCTGCAATGTCAGTGTATCCATCTGCGTCTCATTCCTCTGTGTAGCTAGAGGGAGCCCCGTGGAAAAGTTTGTTGATGCACACCAGGTTGTATCAGGAGTACTCGGTACTGATCTCTAGGAAACTTTTTTTGGGGAAGGGGGTACTCTGAAATCCTCTGCTGAAGATTCCCCAGGACTCCTGTTTTGTTCCTTCTGTGTCTGTCAGCCATTTTGTCTGCAAGCACCAAAGCAGAACACAGGTGAACACTATATAGACCAGTGGTCTCCAACCTTTAGAGGGTCCCGGGCACCCTGGGGGCGGGGCCACTCATGCGCTGGGCGCCCGGGGCGGGGCCACTCATGCGCCGGGTGCACGGGGGCGGGGCCGTGCGTCCTGGGGCACGCCAGGGGCGGGGATGCCCTTGCACCCGGCGCCGGTATGTGCCCCAGGGCCGGGGCCAGGGCCGCCCGAGCGTCTTGTGCCATGCAGGACCCCAGGCAGGGGCCACCCGGGGCCGGCACCGGTATGTGCTACGACCCCAGGCAGGGGCTGCTTAGGCGCCTTGTGCCCGGGGCCAGCACCGGCATGTGCCACACACCCAGGGCCAGGGCCAGCACTGGCATGTATTGCAACCCTGGGCAGGGGCCACCCATACGCCTGGGGCTGGTGCTTGCCACATGCCCGGGGGCGAGGCCAGCCTAGATTGCTGCGCGGGCACGCATAAATGGCCCGGCAGGCACCATGGCACCCGCGGGCATCGCGTTGGGGACCACTGATATAGACCCTGTCTGCACCCTCAGTGACACTCAGGAGTGAGATATTATCTTCTATCACCTGACTGTGGAAAATGGTGCCAGTTTTCAAAATAGCATCTTTAGACACTTGTAAGGTTCTCTTCCTGAGCCCCCTCCCCTTGTCCCATTTTACCCCCTCCCACTCGTGCCCAGCTCATGATGGTTAGGGCTTTTGACATGCTGTGTGCACTGAGAACAGAGAGCAAGGAGAGGAAACGAGCAGAAGCAGATGATACAGTTACTTGAGGACCAAACAGACATGCTAAGTTTTACCCTGACTGCTTGCCTCCCTCTGCAACTCAGTTCAGAACTCCCTTTCATGTTCCCCCACACATTCCTCACATGTTCTTGGCCCACTGCTGTATCTCACCTTTAGGCCTAGTCTACATTACACCCCCCATCAATCTAACCTACACAACTTCAGCTACGCAAATAGCACAGCCAAAGTCCACGTACACACTACGGTGTCTTACACATGATAAGGTTGGCGGGGGCTGCTCTCCCTTCAACTCTGGCTACTCTTCTCATCCTGGTGGAGTACTAGAGTTGACAGGAGAGCACTTGGAGGTTGATTTATCGCATCTAAGCAGACATG